AGTTGGACAAGTTACTGTCCTTATTTACAAGCATAGGTACAACTTTTTTGTGGATTTCTTCTTACAATCCAAATATACAGTAGGTGAATTGACTCCCACCTTTATTAACTGTACAATGTATGTGTGTTTGTATGACTGTAGGGAATTTAGATTATGAGCTCTTCTATAGCTCTTGATAAAATCTAGTAAAATAAATAAATTCATTAATAATAAACATTGTTTCATGAGATTTGCCCATTATAGAGTAACATCTAGATCATACAACTCCACACATTCCCGCCACTGACTGTTAACTAATTGTGTGACAACATTCGCTGTGCTGCCTCTGCACTACATAGAAAAGCAGTTTTCTAGTTCATTTTTTTAATGCTGCTGCCTTGTGACTGTTTGTTTTACATGTTTATTTTCTATATTTTCTTTCACTATATTGTGATGTAATTTCCTTTACCTGTGCGTGGGCTTCTTTATTACTTTGTTCCTCCTACAAGACACACACTGGGGCTAGGTAAAGCCAATACTTCTTTTTTTCTGCATAAAAAACTTCTATATCGGTTTTACCACATCTTACTGTATTGCCACAGCATTCTGTATGCAATATAGACTTCTGTGGATTTCAATTGTTTGGTGAGTTCAGTTATCTGATGAAGATTGTCCATGGTGGGCGTCTCTGCTATATTCAGGGCCAGCGTAGAAGTCTCAGAGAAGGATAATCACTATCACAACAATTGGAATAAGAATATTCAATATACCACAACTAAACATAACCTCAATGATGCATTTTCTTTGAAATACTCCAAAAAGACACACACGGACCAAAAGTCAGCCAAGCTTCTGCTGAACGGGCTTATTTTCAGCCTGTTTGTACTAGGCTTAAGTATATACTATATATGGGCTGGAGAAGGGTGGGTTCCTTTAGGTCAAGGAGGCTAGGCAGTAGCCATAAGTGCACTCTCTGTGAAAAGTGCACTTATTCTTTAACCAGAGATATCTTTGATATTAGGTCTGCTTTAAGATCTGTGACTGTAGAATGAGTCAGAAGCTGGAGTTGTATTTGTACCTTTGATTCTGCCAGAATGTTTTATTGCATGAAGAGTAATAAAAGCTAAAATGACTTGGCCTACCTCATCGCAGGCTATCCCCACTGCAGTCTATCATGAATGCTGCTGCCAGACTCATCCACCTTACTAATCGTTCTGTATCTGCCACCCCTCTCTGCCAATCCCTCCACTGGCTCCCATTTGCCCGACGGGATAAAATTCAAAAACACTAACAATGACATATAAAGCCGTCCACAACACTGCCCTAATTTACACAACCGATCTTGTCTCTAAATATCACCCAATCCGTACTCTCCGCTCCTCGCAAGACCTCCTACTCTCTAGCTCCCTTATCTCCTCCTCCCATGCTCATCTCCAAAGACTTCTCCAGGGTGTCACCCATCCTCTGGAACTCCCTACCCCAATCTATTAGACTATTGCCTACTCTACTTACTTTTAGGCGATCACTGAAAACCTATTTCTTCAGGGAAGCCTATCCAGCCCTCTACTAATACTGGAATCCTCTACTCTTCCAACCACTCCATCCCCCACAGTTATTACCTATTGTACCATTCACCCCTCCCTCCTAAATTGTAAGCTCCAAGGAGCAGGGCCCTCAAATCCCTCTTGTATTGAACTGTATTGTTACTGTATTTTCTCCCACTATAATGTAAAGCGCTGATCAAACCGTTGGCGCTATATAAATCCTGTATAATAATATAATAATAATAATGACTTATGTTGCAGATTATTTATGTCTGAATAATGCAGTAATTCATGGTTTGCAATACAATTAGAACATTTGTTCAGCTGGTCTATGTTCTAAAACCGAATCAGTTTCTTCGTATGGTAATTAAACAAAGTTACCCAAGCTGAAAACTTGATGCTCATATGTTCATCTGGCAGCCAATTGCATCATCTTTGTCTCCCTATCCTTTCTGACCTATTGAAATGGGGAGCAATGGAGTTATTTTCTAAGTACTTAAAATATGTTAAAAGAGTGGTAGAGTGTTTATTATACCCAAAATGTTTTTATTTATTATTCCTGCAGTGTCAGTGGTTTGCTATTGGAAAACCTGGGAGGTGTGGGAAGGCATAGCAGGATGGCCATGTCGAGGGTGTTGGAGATTAAAGACTGCATTAAAGATCTCGAAGGGGGTCAGGCCCTATCCCTTGGTTTTGGGTTCCACTTAGGAATAGTCACAAGTAGATCTCTCAGTAAAAATATGAGAGTTTCTTCCTTATTCACTTGATTAGCTTGCAGCTGAAATTAATGCAGTTTTCTCCCAAATCCTGTCAGTATATGGATGTAGGTCACACACTCTGACCTCAAAGGGGGGATTGAACTGCGTTAATATGAGACTTTAGACCCCTCTTTAGTGCCTCCACAACACCCCCCCCCCCAACGCCACCATTATCACGTGTATGCAGATGTGCCAAAGGGCTCTCTTTGGTCTTAGGGTCTGCTCATGAAAAAAAGATGACAAATGTTTGGGGCTCCCATGGCAGCCATCTTTGCGTAGATGTTTGGGGAAACTTGCGCTTATGCAAATATGCAGAAGGGTTCACCTTGGACACAAAGCCCTGTGGCACATATGCACAAGTACAGAATTTGGGATGGGGGGACAAGGGACACAACGTCTTTCTTGTCCAGACGAGAAATGATGACTCCATTCACATATAGGCGTTTGGAATCACTGCGATTCTGCCTGCAATTTCAAAAGGTGCTGTTAGAATGTCAAATCTCATATCAGCATGTTTAGGTGCCATTTATTTCAATGGCACTTGAAAATGTGGGGTGATTTTGCAGAGATTGCTGCGCAATTTCTCACACGACAAATGTGCTATGATCGCATAAACAAAATCACTCGACGGGTGTCGCCCAGAAGAAGTTCCAGTACTTCTTTTGGGCAACACGTGTCGTACGATTTTGTTTGCACGATCGCAGTGCGTTTGTGACATGCGGCAAAATTGCCCCATGTTTTCAGGTGCCATTGAAATGAATAACACATGCACACTCCGATGAGTAATTTCACATTTCAGCAGCGTGTTTTGAAATCGCATTCAGAATCACGGCAATTCCACCAACGATTCGAAACGCCTATATGTGAACAGAGTCTTAAATTTTAAAAAATGTATGCATTTATCCAATTATGGGAGAGGAAGGGGGAAGTTGGCAGGGCAATATGACTCTTAAATACCTTACAAGAAGGTATTGGAGGATAAGGTGTTAAAACCCATTAATTTATCTTAATCTTAGAGACATATACAAATACTTTATGCATTACTCTCTACTGTGTGTAACATTTGAGGCTGCATTAACAACGCAGCAACACGTCGCTTTTTCTTGTCACATTTGTCGTGCAACAGCATAGGACCCCTGGATCCTTTTCCCTCACAACTACTACGGTCACCATCTTTTTCTATCCTATGCTCCCTCACTCACATCTTCACTCTCTCCCTCTCTACTGGCGCCTTACCCTCCCCTCTAAAGCATTCACAGATCACTTCCGTACTTAAAAAGCCCTCGTTGGACCCCACCAATCTGAACTTAAGACCCATCTCCCTGCTCCAGTTTACCTCTAAACTCTTAGAACACTTAGTCTACAATCGCCTGAGCTCCTACCTCACTGACAACAACCTTCTTGACCCTTTACAGTCTGGCTTTTGCTCACTACACTCCACTGAAACTGCCACTAATGATTTACTAACTGCTAAAACCAATGGCCACTACTCCACACTCTTACTACTTGACCTCTCTGCAGCTTTTGATACTGTTGACTATCCCCTCCTCCTCAAAAAACTCCACTCTCTTGGCCTCTGAGACTCTGCTCTCTCCTGGTTGTCCAGCTACCTATTGCAGTGCTCCTTCAGCGTTACCTATAACTTTCTCTCCTCCTCTCCACATCCACTTTCTGTAGGGGTCCCTCAAGGTTCTGTCCTTGGACCCCTTCTCTTCTCCATCTACACCTCCTCCCTTGGACACTTGATAAACTCCCATGGCTTCAAGTATCAGCTCTATGCTGATGACACACAAATCTATCTTTCTACTCAGCACCTCACCCCTTCAGTCTCCTCTCGCATTACTAACCTATTAAGTGACATATCAGCATGGCTGTCACTCCACTTCCTCAAACTAAATCTTTCTAAAACTGAGCTCATACTATTCCCTCCAGCCCGTGCCCCCTCCCCTGACTTCTCCAACAAGATCAATAATACAACCATCAGTCCCTCCCTTCATGCCAGGGTACTAGGTGTAATCCTAGACTCCCATCTGTCCTTTCAGCCCCAATCCAATCACTGTCCAAATACTGTAGACTTCACCTCCACAACATCTCCAAGATATGCAAATTTTTAACCTCTGAAACCACTAAGCAAAATATTCACTCCCTTGTTAATCTCTCTCCTTGACTATTGTAACTCCCTCCTCATTGGCCAACCTAATCGCAGCCTATCCCCTCTTCACTCTACCGTGAATGCTGCTGCCAGACTCCTCCACCTTACCGACTGCTCCATATCTGCAATCCCTCTCTGCCAATCCCTCCATTGGCTTCCCATTGCCCAACGAATAAAATTCAAAACATTAACAATAACATATAAAGACATTTATACCTCTACCCAAATTACCGTATTTTTCACTCCATAAGACGTACTTTTTCCCCCCAAAAAAAAGGGGGTAAAATGTCAGTGCGTCTTATGGAGTGAATATGGAGCAGCCGGTCCGATATTTCCACCGCTGCCATGTCAGAATATCGGGCCGGCCGCTGAGCTCTGCAGCAGGATCTTACCTGTTCCTCGGTCCATCACTGCGCAGTCTTCCCACGCCGGCATCTTTAGTGTGGGCTCTCGGCTTAACAGCCGGGTGCCCAGTGCGCATGCGCAAGTAGCGCTGCACTTTGTGAATGGTACGGCATCTTCTGGGACACATGACAGGTCCAGAAGACGGTGGACCAATCACAAAGAGCAGCGCTTCTCGTGCATGTGCACTGGGCACCCGGCTGTCAGCCGGGTGCCCACACTAAAGGGAGGACAACTCGGCGGAAGTGTGAGCAGGTACTTGTAAAATTCAGGTACCCACTCCCCCTCCCTCCCCAAAGGTCAGCAGTCATCTCCTGTACTGTCTGCAGTCTCTGGTCATCCCCTGTACTATGTCTGCAGTCTCTGGTCATCCCCTGCACTGTCCGCAGTCTCTTGGTCCTCCCCTATACTGTCCGCAGTCTCTGGTCATTCCCTGTACTGGGTACGCAGTCTTTGGTCATCCCCTGTACTGTCCGCAGTCTCTGGTCATCTCCTGTATTGTGTCCGCAGTCTCTGGTCATTCCCTGTACTGTCCGCAGTCTCTGGTCATTCCCTGTACTGTCCGCAGTCTCTGGTCATCCCCTGTACTGTCCGCAGTCTCTGGTCATCCCCTGTACTGTCCGCAGTCTCTGGTCATCCCCTGTACTGTCCGCAGTCTCTGGTCATCCCCTGTACTGTCCGCAGTCTCTGGTCATCTCCTGTACTGTGTCCGCAGTCTCTGGTCATCTCCTGTACTGGGTCCGCAGTCTCTGGTCATCTCCTGTACTGGGTCCGCAGTCTCTGGTCATCTCCTGTACTGGGTCCGCAGTCTCTGGTCATCTCCTGTACTGGGTCCGCAGTCTCTGGTCATCTCCTGTACTGGGTCCGCAGTCTCTGGTCATCTCCTGTACTGTATCCGCAGTCTCTGGTCATCTCCTGTACTGGGTCCGCAGTCTCTGGTCATCTCCTGTACTGGGCCCGCAGTCTCTGGTCACCTCCTGTACTATGTTAGATATAGTGCATTTGTTTCCTTTTTTCAATACAGAACAATATCTGTGGATCTTGCCAGAAAAGCAGTGTTTTTGCAGTTTCCTGTGAATAGAACTAAAAAATCAAAAAATGTTATCCGTGTCCCCAGCTATTTTCCGAGAACTACAGAACACCTCCCCCATGTAATGCCGATAAGGATGTGGTGTTCTGTAGTCTAAATCAGGAGATCAGCTGTGGGTGACAATGCTGCTCATCCATAGATACAGTACAGTGAGTCAGCAATGTCATCCCTGCACAGGAAGTGTGTTACGGCAGGATTACCAGGTGGAAATAAAGAAAAAGATGCATGAAAAAGAAACTAATGGAAGCACCACATCTAAGGTCAATCTGCACAATACAACATGTTTGGTTTTGGCTTTAGATACACTTTAAATATTCAGTATGTTTGGTTTATATTTCCTCTACCATTGTGTTCACGCAAGGCACTGCCATTATAGGGTATTAATAAAATATACAGCCATGTGGCAGTTAAACCACAAAGCAAACTTGAAGAAATAATGGACTGCACTCCTCCTGACTGTGCACACACAAGCAGCAAAAAGAAGAAACACTCATGGCCTTGCTGTTAACATCTTAGAAAAAGTTCATTATCCTATGTAGCGCCCTGCTAGTTAGCTAGGGGGCGCTAGCTGATTATTTTTAGACAGAATGGCTGAGTAGCAGCCTGGGAAATAGTCAGCTGGGTCAAATTCAGGCTGAGAGGCTCTGCAGGTCAGTTCCTTGATTCCTCCCCCTGCTCTGGAATCTTGGAGAAGATTCTAGAAGCAGTGGGTGGGGATGAGGATGGGCTGGTCTGCATACTCAAGGGACTATGACCAATCCACAGGCAAGAGGCTTGGCATGGGACCAGAGCAGCCCTTAAGCATGACTAAGCCTGCTCACCAGCAGGAGAGTTTCGGTGGAAGATTTGAGGAAGCTGGGATGCAGGAGCTTGAGAGGGGGCCCAGTGGGAATGGGCCTACCTACAGGCAGGGTGCTGGGAAGGATGATCACTGGGCCCCAGAGCAAAGACCACCCATAGAGCCAGGAAAGAAGCTAGCCCAGCAGCCCAGTAGTCCAAGTCATGAAGGCAACCACCTACCTAAATCAGCTCGCAGAACTGAGTCTGAGTGAGTAGTCCTACATCCCCTGGGCCACTTAAAGGAAAAAGAGCACTCTGGTGGGAAAACTGATTAACTCCTTGCCCTTGACTGTTTAATTTATAGTGGCAGACACTGGATTTCCTTGCCCAGGGATTCCCTCAGGCAGCTTGATAAGAAGTTGATTATCCGGGTTCTGGGGTGGTATACCAAGAAAGGCTGGAGAACTCTCCAAGAAGAGTTTCTGCTGTGTAAAGACTTCTACATAGCTGCTAAGGAGTTTGTCCTTGGTTTGCAGTTCCATTGGGCATACATCCCATACACCCCTTACGCCATCCAAGTTTAACAGCTCTTAATAAAACATAAAACCAATCTCAAGGCTTGTTAACCGACTCAGAATGCAAGTCTGTGGAAAATGCATGTTGCCTGGCTGTGCAGGACTATAAGGTGACCCAAATCTTCAGCAACTCCTACAGGGGTATTGCTACACCTATATAAAACAGATTATACACTACAGACAAATATTTATATAGCAAAATTGATGGCAGTGGCAGCTTCTGTCGATTTAAATGAGACTATGAACGGGAGATGTACAGAGCAGTGAGAGGGTTGGGAAAGGGAAGTAGTCTCTCCTCTGACTTATTCAGTTGTGTGTTTCATCTAAACTTTACCATAAATGCACTATTAGACTTAAACATCCCACCTTCCTCTCCACAGATGTATACTTACTGACATTGGACAGTCTCAGCCTTCATTATTTGTTTACATCCAGAGGTGATAGGCTTCATCTCGACTGCTCCTGTATATTACAGTCCCATAGGCTTCTATAGGGCTTGTCTACTTCCAACACCCAGATGGGAGACAGCTCCATAGACATCTGTTGGGCTCTAATGCAAAGGCACTGCAAGGATACAAAGTCTTTCACCGTTAGATGTAAACAAACAGTGGAGGCCGCAGATATTGGATACATCCTGTGAAGTGGGAAGGTGGGATGGTTTAAATCAGGACAAATGAGCAAAAACAGTATATGCACTTTGTCTTAAAGTGCACATATTTTTAATAACAGAACTAAACTCAAGAACAAAACTGTAATATTTTGCCGTTTACCAGTCCTTAGATATGATGGCTGCAATAGTTTTTATTTTTCAGGCTAAAAACATTTTCAGCAAGTACAGAGATTACAGAAATGCAGTGTCTTTGTCACTTCCTGTGAGCTGAACAGGTAGCACAAAATCCACTACTAATCCCATCATCGTGTATGTAATGGAGATGAACAAAGGCCAACATGTTTGAAGTCCAGCCTAGATGATAATCATGGCTCCCTTCGTAGATACACTGGGCCAATGAATGTAGCCACCCATGCACAGGTATGTTATTAGCAGGATTACAGGTAAAAATAAAGGGAAAAAGCCTGAAAAACTAGAAAGCTGCATTATATGTTTGTTTTTTAGACATTGGGGGCTCAATTCACTAAAGGATATCTCATGCAATATTTGGATCATGTGACTCATTTGATCCAAATATCACATGCCATATTAAAAAAGTGAATTCCCTATCTGTTTGCGCGGTATTTACCACAAAAATAACATATGCATGGTAAGTAAGCGCCAAGGAGCAGGGCCCTCCTGTCCCTCTTGTGTTGAACTGTATTGTTGCTGTATTGGCTCCCGTTATATTGTAAAGTGCTGAGCAAACTATTGGCGCTATATAAATCCTGTATAATAATAATAAAATAATAATAAATACTGAATTAAGCTGACATTAAAGTCAGTTTACAGAAATAAACAAATAAATGCATTTGTTAAATAAGTAGTACTAGCCACGTGTTATTTAAGGAATGTATTATGACTTCGACTGTTGTATTAGTGACTTATCCCTGGTTGAGACCTCTATGCCTGGCCTGTATAAGCAGATACAATCCCTGCGGACAGTCTTTATCATAAAGCTGAACTCTCCAAATACCTTTCCCATTCAAGGAGATTTTTTATTGAATGAGGCAGGTTAACAGCAGACAACAAGATGTGTCAGATGATTGAAAAGATGGTATTTGCGGGTCAGAACATAGTAATGTGTTCCCAGATGCGAGCAGATTATATGTGGCCTACAGACTAGCAGCCATATTCATCCCAATAAAGACAATGTGAAAAAGAAAAGAAAATACATCACTAGTGGGAGGGAACGCAGGGTGGAGGACAGAAAAAGATGGTGCAATAACCAAAATGACCTTAACTTGGCTATATATTAATTAACTGTACTGAAACTAATAAACAAAAGGAAATTATCTATATAAATTCTCAATTCACAGTAATATGATATGAACCATGACTATGGTTATGTATGAAAGTAATAGAGCTGCTTGTTAAGGAGCTGGCAACTGCTGGCATCCTAACAACCATCTTTGCAAATAGTGCAGCACTCACAAAAAATGAGAAACACGTTTGGTGGAGTTAAGAGTGCTGACGTCACGTCGCCACATGGTCCCGCATGCAGCAGCCATCTTAGTGAATTTGTTTCAATGCTTGTTTTTTATTTGTAACTTGTACTAGTTTACACTCCAATAAAATACTACACTATGCACAATGTATTTAGTTTTTGCTGGAGAGCAATTGATCCACACAGCCACGAATACCCACCAGTCAGCTCTTTAATTGAACTTTCTTTAATATTGTTTTTTATACACTCGTTTATCACTTTGCAATTTAATATTTATTCATATTTGTTGGACACTTTATCATTTTGGATATTTGATATTTAGCCACTTATATTAATTTATGTCATTTTAGTTGATTCTTTCTATTCACGTTTATTTTGTGAGCACTGCACTAATTGTGTAGATTATTTCAAAGGGTTTTGGCATATTGACCTTGAGTGCCATTCATTTTTGAGGGTCCTAACAACCATGACTCATTCCTGCTGTCAGCGGGGATTCCCTTCGGGTGTGGATTAGATTTTGGGAGGGACCGAACGCCAAAAATAAAAATAAAAAATGGTGTGAGATCCCCTCAAAATCCACACCAGACCCTTATTTGAGCATGCAGCCCCACAGATCAGGAAAGGAGGGAGGGGCCATCCACTGACATCATTGACCATACATGGATACATCCATATTTGGTAAGTGTTGCAACTGGGTGGCCCCACCCCCTTACAAAGTCACTGACCAACCATGGATGTGTTCAAGTATGGTCAATGATCATACTGGGTGGCCCTGGCCAATTATGACATTGGTGACCCCGTCCTCTTGTTTACTTAAGCAGCGATAGAAAGGTCATGTCAGTGGCCAGTGTTCATCATAATTGACAAGGGATGTACATCAGAGGGCATTTTTTTTAAAATAAAGGACTTGTCAAAACCTGTGTGGTGTTTTTATTTACACTTGTCATTTTTTTGGTGAATTAGTAGGGGTACTATAAACCGCTTATTCATTCACATGTGTGGGGGCTAGGATCTAGTTGCCTCCCTCATTAAAGTGGCTTCCAAATTCTATAAGTCACCCCCTCAAACCCTCACAACCACCGGGCCAGGGTTGTAGTGAAGAGGCCCTTGTCCTCATCAGGATGGGGACAAAGTGCTTTCCCAGGGGCTCCCCCCACCAAAGAAGCACTACATAATGAGGGCATGTGGCCT